AAAGATCATGGATCGGCTGAAGTTAAATATTAATACTGTTGGATTACTGCCCAATGGTCTGAAGGTTAAGTATTAGCGCACAAAACTGAAGTTCAAGTCCTGCGTGCTAGAACAGGGTTGCGCACTACTGAGGAATCGCAATTAGGACGAAATGGCCGTCCAGTGCTTCAATAGTTGTCAAGCTTAGATTGACTCGTGAATTCGACCGTTAAAATACAACGATCTCCACAAACTCCAATACTGATAAATTCAAATGATTAAAACAAATAGTTCAATTTGCATTTGTTTTTTATTTCAGATAATGGTAATAATAGAAAGAATGAGTTTAAAATAACCGTGACAAAATAATAGCCAGTTAATAGTCTGTCAGAAAACAAATGGATTATTTTCTATCTGTATCCTGGAGCCCTTATTAGGACCGAAATATATTTTTTAAAGTCTCTACATTGTTGCTGGCTAAGGTTATGTATTCAGGATACGGATCAGAGATTTTAGATTGGAGTTTTCATCATGAACTGATAATAACTATAAGAAGAATTGCTCTGTAGCCATACAAATAAGTTAATTTAGTGTGAAAATAAAAGAGATAGTATTTGCTTAGTTCATTCACAAAATATTGTTGCAACACGTTTAAGGTTTTTTTAACACGTCAACAGAACGGTACAAAATCTGGGATTACAACTTTCCAATTAATACTGTTTCCACTAATTCCCTAGTTGATATCACTCTGTGATGGAAATTATCATAAAACGAAACAAACATCTGTGAAGAGTATCAAATTTAGATTACTAGAGAGTCGGAGTTATGGTTTACATCATAAACTGTCCTAGTATAAGACTCCTCTACACTAAGCAAAAAGAACTTCACCTGATGTCAAACCATGGACTCTTAGGTTTAGCTGTGAGTTATTAGCCTGCTGATCACTAAGTTGGCATTCAATGGTTTACGGTTGTAACTTTAATTATCTCACGACGTAATGTCAGCATAGTCTAATTTGGTCGCTGGAGACCTGTCTGACGCCCAAATTCCTCAGTAGAATTCCTTGAACCACCTCTAGAATGATCTAGTTAAGGAATATACATTATTTTGAAATTAACTGCTGATAAATGAAATCTTCTGACGGTATGAAGATACGTTTTTGTCAGAAATATATTTTAATGACAGTTATTATAACGAATATAAGATATGAAAAGATCATTTCTTGATTACTCAACACTTAGTAGATTTTTAAGACTAGTTGGAAGAATAAAGGAGCTAACCAACTAGACATACATTTGACTATCCTTTATGCAAAAAGTGGAAGTTACTCTCACATTAACATTAATACTTTAGATACTATTACTGTTTACATCATATAATAACGAAATAAACTGGAAAATGATTAAAATTAAGTTGTATCACGAGTGAGACTATAGTCTATGGATGACATTTGAGCGACTCCAAAGTGACCTCGAGAATATTCACCTACCAATTAGGACTAGGGTTATAAATCAGTGTGAGGAATTATAATAATAATAATTTACAGTTGATTGTTTGGGTTAGGAATTAGATTTAAGATTTTCATCACGAACTAACATCAGCTCAAATGCCAAAACTCTATTTAGACAAATAAATGAATGAATTTCGCGACAAAATTCAAGATCTGTTTTCTTACATCTGATTTGTTCGTTCATCAATTATAGTCTCAGCGTTATTTTTTATCACATTAAGTGATACCAACTGTTGAATTATTGAAAAACAAGAATTACAATAGATATCCATTTTTGTATTGGGTTCAAGTCTTGAAATAAACATCAACTCTGGGATTCAGGTTCTTTCGGCTAACGAGTCTCAAATAGGATGAAACGCGCGGCCTGGATTCCACTGCTCGTCACCATCCATCTCTACTTATTATAATAGATAATTTATATATATATACAGGCATAACCTAATTCAAATGTTTTGAAATCACAATAATGATATCTTACACAAAATACACCACTATTTTTTAGATAGTTGAGACAAAATTAACTAATTAGCAGTGTTCATGTAATCGGTAATACATATGTCTTGCTCCTGAGCAACTGATCTCGTTAGTTACACTTTTATAAGAGATACATTAAGAAATTCATTTCAAAGCTAGAGATAACTATGAACTGTATTGTTATATATATAGACGTGACTATTTTTATACGAAAAGTTAACTTTTTCTAAAAAGAAAAAAGTTTTTTATTGCAAATGGTAAAACAAGTTGTTGATAATGTCAAATTACTGAATACCAATTCGTTTGATTATTCTATCTGATTGTATATACATTTATATATTACTGTTTATGTTAACGGGTACCCATTTATGAATTTATATCTCTAAGATGTACTAAATGTAACTAACTATACCATGTCTACAATTGATTATATTCCGGAAAATAAAGGGGAAAAAATGACAATTTATGCGCACTATAGTTGGTCATCATATAAAAAAAAGAAGAAAGAGGAAATGGAAAATCAGATAACCAGATAGTTAGACAGACAGACATATAGATAGATAGACAGACAGGCAGAGAATAGATATTTCCTTTAATCTAAGTCTTAATATATTTTCATTTGACATGAAATTATTTCATTTGTGTTTTAACCGAATGAATGGAAAAGAGATTAGAATTGCACAGAAGTACAAAGATATATTTTAGCTGAATAGTAAATGATTAAACCATTGTTATTCAAATAGTTTATATTTCAAATGTACAACCGTCTGTTGTTGTTGTTGTCGTTGTTTTTTGAGTGTGTATAATCTTCCAATGAATTTATTCACTGGATGTCCTAGCTTCCGGGTTTTTTTTAAAGAGTTTGTTTAGGCATTAGGACGACTTGATATATCGTAAAGGGTGAATTCAGTCAATGTAGTGTGTATATGGTCATAAAATTTATAAAATCTTGAAAAAAAAATAATTCAAGGAAATTTATAAGCAAAGACAGATGGTGGTTAGCAAACGACTGATCAATGACAGACCTAAACAACAATGGTGTTATATCCGATGAGAATAATGAATGGTAACTGTTAGAATCTATTTCTGGACTAATACTATGCGTATATTTTTGACGTATAATTGTTAAGTAACTAAACTATGCATATTCATGTTCCTCTTGTTAAAAGGTTTATTTTAACCCATAGACTATTGTTATACGATTTACCATTGTTGAGTTATGCTCAATCTGTTGAATACAGTCTTCGACATTCACACCCACATTTGACTATATCTTGTACAAATGTTGTTTCTAATTTTATGGTACAATGTGGTCTGTTTGGTTTGTATATAAACTTAGTATGTTTGAAATGCATGATTCATATCACAGAGGTTGATAATGATGTTCTGGACATAACAGGCGGGGCTGGGTAGGAAGTGATGTGTGTGCTAAAATGACAATGATTAGTTGTCTGCTTAGTCAGACATATAGATAATCTGACCGGTGTCAGATGAGTTATATATTCCAGTATCCTTATATATCTTATTGTTATCAGAGTGGGTTTTGTGGAGATTTTAGAAATTTCACAGATTGAAATCATGAGTCAGTTGAAGCTAGACCACCATTGAAAACCTGTAAGCACTGAACGGCCGTTTCGTCCTAATACGGGACTCCTCAGCTGTGCGCATCCACGATCCCGCACCACGCGGGGCTCGAACCCAAGACCTACTGGCTTCGCGCGCGAGCATTTAACCACTGGACCACTGAGCCGGCATCCAACGGTGTTAATGTCTAACTTCAACCAATCCACGAAGTTGCGCCACCCTACACCATTGTCTTCAGTGAGTTCCTATCTCACAACAGACCTGGTTGGACTCCACTGGTAACGGCTTCTCACTAGAACTTCGGGAGTTTTTCCTGAAGTCAGTCACTAGTGAGCAGATGATTATTATCAGAATGGGTTTTGTGGAGATTTTAGAAATTTCAACTGCTCACTAGTGACTGACTTCAGGAGGAGTCCTACACTAGGACGAAACGGCCGTCCAGTGCTTCTAGGTTTTCAATGGTGGTCTAGCTTCAACTGACTCATGATTTCAATCTGTGAAATATCTTATTGTTGTTGGATTTTGTTGGGTTTTGGTGTGGAAATATATTTACGTTCTAGTCAGGCTAATCAAGTGTTCTTGATCTGAGTTTTGTTGAAGTCCTGTCGAATTAACACTTGGAGGGAATCTAGTGTAGATATTCGTCTAAGGTAAACTACCATCCTATACATGTAAACGTGGAAACCCAACCGTTATAATAAGAAGCAGGACTGATTGGGACTCTAGACTACTCGTACGAGTTTTATGCGTCATTGTTCCGATCGATAAAGCACTGTTCTCTAATTGGCGGTGTCATTACGTTATACATTGACAGGGGCACAAACCTACAAGTTGCAACAAATAGGAAAATACAAGCAAGCAATACCAAATGTATTTCAAGAAAAATAAAAAAAAACAAAAGAGAAAACTGAGAGTGTTGAATACCATAATAATTGCTCACACAATACTCATTATAATAAATATTAGTAAGCTACTACTGTATGAAAAAAAAACGAATTAAAATAGCTCTCATGATTTGCAATTCATTGTTTTTAACTGCTGAGGAAAACTGAGCAAACGTTATTAGCTTCATATTTATAGTTTGGTAAAGCAATGTACATCTGTTTTGAATTAGTACAGTACTTCCCTACAGCGAATATTCGCCATCGTGTCACAGACCAAACATAGGACGTTCAATCTCCCAGAGTGTGCTCGAATTTCAGACTATTAAGTAAATATCCTATGGCTTACATTTCTAACTTCAATGAATTCACGATACTAATCAACTATCAGTTGTTCAAAAGTTAGGCGCGTTGTTTTTATCATGTGTCATATGGAAAAACAAATACTAAGACAAAGCTGCTGCCCAGTGCACCTTGATTCATAATAACTCTCTAGATATAGTTGGTCTGTGTATTAAACTAACTCTTTTGTTCATGAATATGTAGTGTATTTTATAGAACTGTATCCCTACCTTTCGAAAACTTGTCCAGGTACCCGATGCGGTACATCATTATTAGTTTTACATGTAAATTGAAACAAGAGATCAACTTCATGGTTACGATATTCTTGGTTTGTAATTATAGCCAAGTAACCAGTATATAAATCACCAGTCTACAAGAGAGGAAAAATATGATTACATTATTATAAAAAATAATACATGAAGTGATCGTGTAAACTGCTGAATAAAATGTTGATAACTGTTTTTACATATATATAATTAAAAGTCGTAGAGCAAACTTTGTGGAAATGACTAAAAGTTTATACTTTACATTACGTTTGAGTCGTAGATGTGCACTCCTGGTTTGTCCCAATATTAAGAGAAAAACGGCTGTATAATATTTTTCTGGTTTTCATTGGTTGTCTAAAAAAGATCAGTCCGTAATGCACAGTATGGAAATTCAACAATCTCCACAAATACTCAATTCACTAATAATAATAGTGTGTTCAGGAGGAACTGATTTCAAGAGATAATCCAAGGAATCCTAATGAGAAGCGATGGCTAGTAGGGTTGGGTCATGTCACATTGCAAAATGGTTAAGCAAACGCCAACGCGTTATCCACTTAGATATCGATCTCAAATTGTCCAATCGATATTATGAAGTTTTAACCAAATTTGTAATGCTTTTTGATTATCCTATTATTATTATTTTGACTGATATATGGTCAATTTATGCTAACGAGTCCCAAACGGGATGAAACTCGTGTTTTGGATCCCAGTTACGTTTTATCGTAATGGCTATATCAAACCAACCCGTACAGAATGCACATATACCAACCAAATTTCTGTAAAATATATCAAAAACGGAATAGTTCAAACCATCAGAAATTAAATTAATCTTCATTGGTTTCCAGAGGATGTTAACACATCTATTCATTAGGCTTTATTAGATAGTAATAGCGATGATTTCAATTTTGTTGTAGTTTCTTTAAGACTAAATATCTCCAGTTGTTGAGTGTCGATAAAAACAAGAACTTATATATATAGTCTCCACTCATCGAAATTCATGTAACGTCATGCAAATCTAACTAATACAACTGTGTCATTATGGAAAATGTGTCACTAGTGAACATTGATATTCAGTACATTTAGTCATATAATAATACGAATTCAATAATATGCCTTTAGAAGATTTATATCCAAATGATGAATTAGGTATTCAAAGTTATTGTTACATAACAAATTTAAGTATATCGTGCTTGTAACCAAATAATTTATCGATTAAAGTACATAAACCATTCAACATAAGCCATTCCTATTCCAATCAACTACTGAGGTAATAAAAATAATCAATGATCTGATGTTGTCATATTCTATTTAGATGATACAATTAAAATTGTTACATTTTAATAATGGAACAATCAAACAGATGTGCATTCTGTAATTACTGTAACTATCATTGAATAAAGTAATTTTCATTGAAAGATCATTTAGAGTAATCAAAATAATGTCTTTCCTACTGTGCGACTCTTTACCAATGCACATCCACGACTTCCAAGCAGGAATGGAACTTGGGACATTTGGCACTGTGAATGAACGCCTAACCTACAGACCACTAAGTCCTTATCTAGTGGTGTTAATTTCTAACTTAAATCAATCAAAATATTGCTTGACAATCTTCTGATCTTTTCAAGGGGTCTAATTTACTTACCAATTCAGAAAGATATCCTTTCATTTACGCTGCTAAATTACTTGTTAACATACTAGAATGATAATGATCTAGTATTTCATTGATGTCATCAAAGTTTATTGTTAAGATTTTTGTGAACTATTTATGCACCAATACGATACATATATTTTTGTTGTATAATTATTAAGTAGCTAAACTACGCATATTCATGTTTCTCTTATTGAAACCTTTATTTTGACCCATAAACTAATATTATACGATTTACCATTGTTAAGTTATGTTCAGTCTGTTAATTACAATCTCCCAATTTCACACCCACGTTTGACTAGATCTTGTACAAATGTTATTTTCCATTTTATGGTGCGATGTTGTCTGTTTGGTTTGTATATAAACCCAGTCATATCATAGAGGTTGAGAATGATGTTCTGGACTTAACAGGTAGGGCTAGGCTGGAAGAAGGACTGATAAATACTCTAGATTGCTCGTACGGGTTTTATACGTCATTGGTCTGGTCGATAAATTATTATTCCCTAATTTGCGGTATCATTACGTCATATATTAATGGGACACAAGGCCACAAGTTATAAGACTTTAAAGATTTACAATGTGCCGTCCAACATCTAATCAATAAATGAAAAAATTGATACACACTTTAAAACAGTTAATCCTTTTGATAAATTTCCATAATACAATGAGAAGACGAAGTTTATCAGAATGATGTGGTATATTTGAGTAATACATTTCGAATTACCTTTAACCTGTTTAGTTGACCTTTTAATTTTCATATAAATATATTTTAACAAGTATATATGTGATCAGATTGTTCGAAATGTATTACACAAATATATCACATAATTCTGATGAACTTCGTCTTCTCATTGTATTATCGAGATATACACATTCCTAAAATTTCATTTACTCTATAATTAACTCATTAAGCCTTAGTAACAAATATAACCTTTTTCTAGTCTTATAGTTCAGATCAAATTCTATTATTCAAGTTTCAATATGACCATTAATCTAAATTACTCAACATTGTACACACTATACTTAGATTTTACGTCGTTCGATTTAATCGATAAGAAATTCAGATACGTAGATCTTCTAATAGTTAGCATTCTTCAATAATCTTAAATGAATTCCATTCTCTTTATAAGATTCAAAACTGAATCAAATATCTTCAATAAGTTAGACATTATCACCGTTGGATGCCGGCTTAGTGGTCTAGTTGGCTAAACACCTGGCGCGAGACTGATAGTTCCTGGTTTCGAATCTCGCGGGGGGCGGGATCGTGGATACTCACTGCTGAGGAGTCCCATACTAGGACAAAACGGCCGTCCAGTGCTTCCAGGTTTTCCATGGTGGTCTAGCTTCAACTGACTCATGATCTTAACCATTGAAATTACTACAATCTCCACAAAAACCCATCTGATAAAATATAGTTGACATGACTTTTATGTCATCTTTCGTAATGAAGTAACTTAGAAAATGGATCGTGTACTTTTATTTCATACGAATACACGTATGTGAGTATGTTTGTATGTATGTATGTATGTGTGGATGTGTGTGTGTGTGTGTGTTAATTAACATTTCCCTATCGTACTAATGAAATAAATATTTAAAAAAATCGGCTTGGAAAATTTACTTATTACCTATGCAAACAAGATAAATTGAAAAAAAACAGAAAACAACCTGATTACATATTAAATTAAATTAGTTTAAATGTTAAAATCATATTTTGTTTTTTCGTTGTTGTTGTTGTTGTTAACGGATTATTGAATTAGTTGAGAATTAGTTTAATTATGCTTTATATAGTTACTAAGAGATTTTCTTATAAGAAAAAAATATAAAGAATAAAATGTTTATTAAGTAATATAAAATAAATTAGGTTAACATTAACTAATGTGAAATGATAAATGGTTGTTTCGTTTTTGAATGGACCTCATCAGTTGATGATAATCGTTTTCTAATAAGTTGATTATCTTGATTCTTTGAAATACTTCAAATTTCAGAGTGTTAACTAATTATTAGACTATTGAATTATTGTAAACATTAACTTGTCTCACAGGTACGATACAGTTGATTGATCACTAAGTAAGGACTAATGTCATGTTTATCTAATCCTACTTAGTAATCAATCAGTTATAAACTATCTTAGTCCTAATATTATAGACTGTGATGCTTGGTAAGATAAGATGGAATCCATTAGAAATCATTAGTTCTTTTGAATATTATATACACCATACTGACAACCAATAACTAACAAGAAATTCTAAATCAAATAGTGTTTCCAGTAAACTACTTTGAATTATTTATCACTAACTAAGAAATAAGAAATGATACACATTGCTTTCGACGAGATACCAGTGTCAAGATAAACTTGACAAAGAACTTTATAGATGTAGTTAACATAACTCTCTTTCCTCATCCTCTTCTTCTTCTTCTTCTTTGTACGCGTTGGTCTACAAATTGATACCTCCTAAAATGGTGTCTGGTAAAGCTGCGAAGAAAGCGTCGAAGGTAGGAAAAAGAGTTATGCTATCTACATCTCTAAAATTCTTCGACAATAGTATTTTATCGAAAGTAATGTCAATCATCAATTCGTTTATGAGCAATATCTTTGAGCGTACTATCGTAGAATTCAGATGACTTTCATACTACAACAAGAAATGCCAAAAAATGAAGCTACTTTATTCAAACAAAATCATTTAAATCATTCATATTTACTTACCATATATTCAGTAATACTAAGACCACATGGTATATTTGTTGATTCTTGTCTCCAATCAATTGTTTTACACCATATATGTTTTGTATTGAATTTATTATAATTTAATATTGTATTATTCCATTGTTTATGATATAAACCAGAATTTTTTATATTTAATATACAAGTATTAATCAATTTTTGATAGATTGTTAAATTTGTAATAAATGCAATGGAATGATGTAATTGTAAATTTTCAGCTAAATTTTCATATGGTGATTGATTCATTGGTAAGAAACAAATTTCTAATAAATGTCGTTGACAAAATACATGTACTAGGGGGTAGGAGTAGGTAGGTGGGGGTAGGGGTGGGGAAAAACAAACAATTTACATGAGATTAAAGAGATTCTTTAAAAACAAGTTAATTAATGCAAGAATAAGAAGAAGTGATCGTGGCGCAATATCGTGGATTGATTGAAGTTAGACATTGACATCGTTGGATGCTGTCTCAGTTGTTTAGAGGTTAAGTGTTCACGTGCGAGACTAATAGGTCCTGGATTCGAACTTAACGAGGTGGAGTCGTAGATAGGCACTGCTGAGGAGTCCATATTAGGACGAAACGACCGTCCAGTGTATCCAGCTTTTCTATCATGATTTAGCGTTAATTGACTTATGAATTCGACTACTAAATTACTATAATATCCATTAAACAACTTCCTAATTTAGAATAGAATTTAGATCAGTCTCAGTAAAACGAGTAGATAATTGAACTTAGTTACTCAATTGATAATGTGTTAAACACTTGGAAGGAAAGGTACTATGTCTAAAATCTCATCACGAACATCAATAATGAGTTGTCGGAGGAAAATTTAATTGGTGAATCTGAAATAAAAACGAAACTGCTTAATTGTATTCGGTTGCTATTCACTTTTTTTTTGAAATGTGAAGCCTGTTCTCACTATTAAACGACGTTACCTATAATGTATAATATTGGATGTAATGAAATACAGAAATAATTTTCTAGTTTTCAACCTGTTTGTAGCACAACCTAGTTATACTACGTGATTGTCTTCATGGAAGTTAGTGAAACTGTTGTGGAAATGGGAAATCTGCTCGATGAACCATACATGTTTTACGTCCTATGATATCATTTACACTTTAAGGTGATTGGTACAAATTACTTTTGCGTAGCTGATATCCCAGACGAATGCGAGTTAGACAACGTTTAAAAACCAGGAAGCATTGGAGAGCTGCTAAGTTCTGATATGGGACGTCTCAAGAATATACACTGACGTCTCCAGGAGCACGTTTAACTTTTACACCACTGAGCAGACAACGGATGGTTTTTTTGTCCAGCTTCACTTACCGACACTGTACGTTTAGTTCCATTGCCTGCAATGGATATCTTTCTCATGCTTGACTTACCTGAGGTCCATTGGTTATGGCTTCTCAATAGGACTGTAGGATTTATCAGTTGAAATTAGTCGCAAGTAAGTTTTCTTCTATCGAAATCAAGCTTCAATAAATATGACTTTTTATGAGAGACCTTACTAGTTCTTAATACAAATATTTCTAAGGCTTATAAGTTTAGTCTCATTTTATAAACAACGTTGCTTACATGTTGATTTCATTATTTTGACATTAATAAAAAGCTACCTATTAAACATCCGTAAATAGCACCAAAATGTCTGCTGGGACATTAACTCATCAGTTATTTTACTGGAATACGTTCACAAAACCCCGAGTCAATAACGAAATAAATACAACCATATTCATTTACTAAGGTTTAGTTGCGTAAACGTGGATATATGCAAGCATCCCTGACAGCATTCGATCTTCATTTCTACACAAATATCCATAAATCACTTATTATCACTGGCCTCAGTTATTTTTTGATTGAGACCATTAAAATACCTGGAAGCAAAGAATAGCCTTTACGTCCTAGTATCAGACTTCTCAGCAGTGTGCATCCAAGATCTCGTGTCAAAGGACCTCCAACCTACGACCTTCGGTCTGACGCGCAAACATCTAACGCCTAGACCACTGAGACAGCATCTAACGGTATTAATGTTTAATTTCAACCAATTCACGATCTCGCACAACCACCTTCCATTTTCTTTGATGGTTAACTGCCTCACACACGACATGGATTAGATCTACTGGTGACAGCTTCTCACTAGAACTCTGAAAATCCCCTCTCATTTATCTTCATTTATTTAATTGCCTGTTATATAAAAACCATATAATACTTGTAATCAATTATTCTAGCTTATTCATCGAAATTTCTATATTTATTTTTTGTTTTGATTCACCATTAAAAACAAGTGCGAAAATTAAATTACCAATATTATTGTTATTACAGTCTTTATGATTCAACTTGCCTATCACCTTAATAAATAATAATGATAATAACAACTAATATAATGATTATCATAAAATCAACAATGGTTATTGACCAACAAGAGAAAATGAAGTTTTGCAACCATTAAAATCTATTTTCAGAGAAGTTGTTTATCTACCTACTTACCTACCTACCTACCTATCTATCTGCCTACCTATCTATCTACCTACCTACCTATCTATCTGCCTACCTAACTATCTACCTACCTACCTGTTCCTATTATAGACATATATACGAATAAATTAAACGACAGTAGAGAAAAAAGGTCGATTATCTCGTCAAAGTTTCTTCTCTATCAGTAATATACCAACGATACTGATGACGAATGTGATGATGATGATGATGATGATGATCACGATGATGGTTAATCTTTATTTAGTCGCATGATTTAATGATTAGAATTATTAAATCATTAGCCATTATTTATATTCAATTACATGGGATAAATATTATTTTCCCTCTCAATTTAATGATATCACGTGTAGGAAAAAACTAATCAATAGAAAAGTAACTCATGATGTTGGCTAGTTTTTTTGTTTGAACGTACATTTGTCCAGAATTTAGAAAAAAAAAGAACACTTGTATATGTAACAATTATCTAACACTTCAAAATGAAAGGTATTAGATTTTGAGTTTCAACATATAAATCAATATTGAGATGTAGTTTAAGTATCCAGATGACAAATTCCATGGTTAGCGACGCCATCCCGTAGAAAAATAACTCGCCAAAAAAAACGCTAACCAGAAAAAATTATTAAAACCTTTTAAACTCTGCCCTGGGTGTTAGAAGGACTTTATTTAGAAGAGTTATGACGCCTCATGATGAAAGCCGAGTTTCTTCGGAAGTCACGAGGCCGATGCTTCTTCTGACAACCAGAGCAACCATTTATGGAATACTCGTACAATGTGAGAGACCAGGAAAGTCTTCCAGATTGCTGCAACATGATGAACTGATGATCTTAGGATTTGGAACCGCATCACTCAACTTTACAATCTTACACATTAACAATAAAGTATTCGGTATACACTTAATCAAGTTTTAATAACTGAGATATTTTTACAAGTGACTGATTACTTAGCAACGATCAATGTCATGTTTGACTAGTTTTTTGATTGAAAACAATCAATAGTAAGACCTTAATGTAACTTGTAATAAAATATCTGACTGTGACATTCACTACTGACTTAAGATACAGTCAGTGCATACAATTTATTTTGTCAAATTAATGATAATAATGATATTCTATGAACTAATTAAGAGAATAAAGGGTTGTTTTAAAGTGGACATTATATAGTATTATATTATAAACTAACTAAACCATAAATTATAGTCCACTATCATTAGGTGTACCATTTTTCTTTCACTTTGCTCAGCTATTTTCCATCCTAATGGGCAGTTGATAGGAGGTCTATATCTTACACTTGTTGGTAGAACATGCTAGCGAAGACACTCATGACGAAAATATAGTTGTTCTCGAGTGAAAGTCCACATCTATCCTGATTATTATAAGACTTATTATGCAATAAATATTAGCTTATATTAAATTATGATAGTGAATCACCGATGAGTCTGAAAAATAGTACTAAACAGTTATTAACTCATTATTGATTTTACTAGTTGAATTCATGAATTGATGTAAGCTAATTCACCATTAAAAAGGTGGCAACATTAGACAACTGTTTCGTTCTAGTATGTGTCTCTTCAAATTTAACATCATTCTATGATCTAATAACTATTAGTCTCAAAATTAACGTCTGACTTATCTTTTTGTTTTGTTTTCTTCTTAGCAAGATTTTGATGGAGTTTTGTTCTCTGAGCTCATAGAACAAAACTCCATCAAAATCATCTCTACCTGAGCTACAAATCTTCTCTACCATCTCTTAGCCAGATTATTCCATCAATCCATTTTTTTGCTTAAATTATTTATTTTTATTTACCATGACATAATTGTTATCATGTATTATCATCTGTTTAACAAGTTCAATTTGTAAATAAGCCATTTATTGAATAAATGACAATGAGTTTCGATTAGATGACAATTAAGTCTGTTTATCAATGGACAATTATTCTCATCTGATATAGAAGAATAAGATAAACAATAGAATTGAAGATTCAATTTGAAATATTGACTGTATATATATATGGATACAACATATAGAATTACCTAAATTTTCTCCGCATACTTCATATTCCATTATTGTTGTTTGTGATAGCATAGATTTATAATGATTCTGTAAATGATTATCATTATCATTATTGTTTATGATCTCATCATTATTACTATCAATAGGGATATTATTATCATTATTATTATTAGTATGTTGTATGAAATTAGTCTGTGTTGAAGATGTTATTATAGATTGAAGATTATTTGGGCATAAACAACCAATCGATGATTCAATGTCTTGTTCATTCATTGTATAACATTTTCCATTTGAATGAATACATGACGAACAGCTGGAATGATTCGCTTCAAGTTGACGAACTGAAATCAATTTTGAAAATTAACAATATATATATCACATTGAAATAAAAATAACAAATCTCCTCCAAGATGAAATATATATATATAAAAAAAAGTGAAAAGTTCTTCTTATGATAATTCATTTGTATTACTGACTTCAGTTAATTACTTACGCCTGTTACTCCTTATAGAGGAGCATAGTCCGACCACTAGAACTTTCCATCCAACCCTGTCCTGGGCAATCCTTTCCAATTCTTTCCAGTTCTTATTCATCCTTTTCATATCTGCTTCTATTTCACGACGTAATGTGTTCTTTGACCTTCCTCTTTTCAGTTTCCCTTCAGGATTCCAAGTTAGTAGGTGTTTCGTGATGCAGTTTGGTGATCTCCAGAATGTATGTCCTATCTATTTCCATCGTCTTTTCTTAATTCCCACCTCAGTTGGAAGCTGATTTGTTCTCTCCCACAGAAGGCTGTTGCTGATGGTATCCGGCTAATTGATGTTGAGTATCTTGCGTAGTCAACTATTTATAAATACGTGTACCTTCTTGATGATGTTTGTTGTACTTCTTCAAGTTTCAGCTCTGTACAGTAGAGCTCACTATCTTGGCGTTCGTGTTGAAGATTGTGAGTTTGATACTGCTTGAAAGTTGTTTTGAGTTACGCATGTTCTTCAACTGTAGGAATGCGGCCCTTGATTTGTCAGTCCTCGCTTTTACGTCTGCATCGGATCCTCCTTGTTCATCGATTATGCTTCTCAGGTATGTGAAGGATTCCACATTTTTCAGAGCTTCACCATCATATGTGATTGGGTTGATGTTCTCCGTGTTGTATTTGAGGACCTTGGCCCACTGATGCACAGGCTATTGCCATACTAGTTGCCTTCATCTGCATCTGTTGTGTGCATGGGATAGGAGGGGTAGGTTGTCTGTGAAGCCCAAATCGTCTAATTAGTTCTCAGCTGTTGAATGGATTTCGTGCTTTCTTTCAAGTGTTGAGGTCTTCATAATCCAGTCGACCATCAGAAGAAAGAGGAGAGGAGAGAGTATGCAGCCTTGTCTGACTTCGGTCTGTTTCAGACTCAGTTAAGTGAATAACGTGTCAAGCGTTTGAAGCGACAAGTACTTTGTTTTAGTACTGATGTGACTGTCAACAATGGGGTTCAGGTACATCTAGGTGAAGAGTCTTAAGTATGACGAAACAGTCCTTCTGAATTCAACTGTTAGCTGGTTTCTAATTGTAGTTTTACTTTAGTTAGCGTGACGAAATGAAAAGCCATTTTAAAACCGAGTAGAACTATGCAACCTTACATTGGATTAATTGTACTAGTGCATTTCAATTATACCACTTGAAGTATTAAAAATATGCATCTCTATACAGGCTCATTGCCAAAAAGACAAAATGCTATGAAATCAAATACCTGCAAATCAAATCATATTGATAGGAGAATAGAAGTGTTATAAGTATGGTGGATTTCTGGAGATCGTAGTATTTTCACAATTGAAATCATGAACTGATCTTAGCCAAACCGCCATTAAAGACCTAGAAGTACTGGACGTGGTTTTTGTCTTTGTATGGGATTTTTGAGCAACGCTCGCCCACGACACCTGCCCATTACACCGTAGCTAAGATCTCTTTGTGATCTCAACTGTAGAAAATATTACTGCTCCGAGTTCTTTTATATGGTTATCATATTTCTGTTGTCCACTTTGAATGAGTAAAAAATACTATTGTATGTTATTTATTGTTAAGTTTGTTAGCTGAAAACTGAGGTCATTATGTTTTTAAAATTTGAGTATTACACATCTTATCCCTTATGTACAATTAATCTATATTTCAATGGTTAAGATCATGAGTCAGTTGAAGCTAGACCACCATTGAAAACCTGGAAGCACTGGACGGCCGTTTCGTCCTATTGTGGGACTCCTCAGCACCGTTGGATGCCGGCTCAGTGGTCTAGTGGTTAAGTACTCGGGCGCGAAACCAGTAGGTCCTGGGTTCGAGTCTCGCAGGGGGCGAGGTCGTGGATGCGCACTGCCGAGGGGTCCCACAATAGGACGAAACGGCCGTCCAGTGCTTCCAGGTTTTCCATGGTGGTCTAGCTTCAACTGACTCATGATCTTAACCATTGAAATTACTACAATCTCCACAAAAACCCATCTGATATTAATCTATATTTATTAAATTCACTAAGTTGTTTATTTTATTTTAAAAACATGATGACTATTTTGATTAATATCAGAAGGGGATTTTGTGGATATTATAGTAATTTCAATGGTTAAGATCATGAGTCAGTTGACTCATGTTGACTCAGTCTATCCCATTAGTGATTAGGCCAATAACAATTATGTTTAGGTCATGATCCAATAGCAGTTTAGGCTCTACCTTCTGATATTCATACAGATTGATGAGATATAATAAAGAGATGTAACTCAACTTGTTATCGATTTGAGTGTTGACTGCGTAATCGGTTCTCATTATTATAGTAATCTGTTTGATAAGTAAGCAGTTAATAGGATGGGATATAAATACACATGGAATCTGTCATTAAATATATTGTTAATTAATTATTATTTAATAAATTATCTCAGCTATTAAGTACTCATCTCAACTGATATGATAGAATCAAAAAAGTGGAATTTGATCAGTTTGTTATTGCGAATACAGGTTTCTATAGTAAGTTATTGATTAACTGATGTTATATACTATTCACTTCAAACATACAAATCTGTTCATGAATTTAAAGGTAAATAAGCCATATAAAAAATCCAACTTATTCTGCATAACATCAGTCGTTGATTTTCACTACATGTTGTCAAACTCTTGATCACAATATCAAACACAAGCCAATTAAGCGTTTTCTATTTGGAATACTAACAAACATAAGACATTTTTCATTGAGACCAGGAACCGATTGATGTTAAACCACCATTGGAAAACTGGAAGCACTGGATGGCCGTTTCGTCCTAGTGTGGGATTTTTCAGCAGTACGTACCCACGATCCCGCTCATGGGATTCGAACCCAGGGCTTTCGATCTCATGTGCGAACGGTTAACCTCTAGACAACTGAGTCGCCATCTTACAGTGTTAATGTATAACTTCAACCAATCCACGATATCGCGCCACCGTTTACTATAGTCCTCAATGAGTAACTGCCTCAAAACAGACCCGGTTGAACTCCGTTGGTCACGGCTTCCAGGTTTTCCATGGTGGACTAGCTTTAACTGACTCATGAATTCGATTATTAAATTGCTACAATCTCCACAAAAACCTTCAACTCTGATCGTTTACAGAAGTGACAACTTATATCAACTTTAAAATGTAATCGAAAAAAATAATTGTAATGTACTGATACCATCTCACAAGGGAATCAATAGATATTTTGGAGTGGTCGGAAGCATTGTTTAATTTATTATCAAGACATTTGATCATAACCACTTCCCCCCACTACTTACACATTTGTGTTAACATATTAAATAATAATTGAATCTCCATAGTTCAGCCTTTTGTGCATCATAGTTCAATGACCGTGGATGTTCACTTCTGAGGAGTTCTATAGTGAACACTTACACCAGTAGGAACAATCGAATGTATTTAACACAAAATTACAGGACTTGTTAATAAAATCTAACAATCATAATGTAAATGTTTAATTTGCAAAATGTTCATCAATTATCTCATAATGAATCAGAATTCATTGTTCTTGCATTTTCATACAAGCTGCATTCTGTTTCCATTCTTTACTGTTCGATCCTCTTGTCTCTCTGCTCCCAGACATTCTGTTCCTGACTAACATTATATCCTACTTATGTCAATATAAGTAGTACACACCACAATTCCACAATGGGACGAAACGGCCGTCCAGTGCTTCCAGGTATTTCAATTGTGGTCTAACATCAATCGATTCATGATCTCAATCAAAAACTTAATAATCTTCACAATCCCATACTGATAAGACATTTCTATCACATCTAAACGACTACAGTATTGTTAGTCTGAACAGTAAACTTTTAATGTCTTTATCAGATTTGTATTAACATTTCATTATAACGATGTTATAATAAGTAAATACTGATTTTTAATGGTTGAGATTATGAGTCCATTGAAGCTAGACTACCATGGAAAACCTGTAAGCACTGGATGGCCGTTTCATCCTATTGTGAGACTCATCAACAGTGCACATCCACGATCTCGTCTCGTAAGCGCTTTACCACTAGATCACTGATACTAAATACTGATTACTTAAAAATCCAATCAACTCAATAGTACATCACAATAATGAAATAATAATTCCTCTTTTTTAATAAAAAATCTTATCTATGTAATAAAACAATTAGAATTACTTACAACATTCATGATAATCTAAATGATTTTGATAAACTGGTATATAACCAGGTATACATTGACATGTAAATTGAATTAAATCTAATTCATTATCCGTTCTGATACAACGTGCATTTTTAGTTCGACATAATAAATCAATATTGTTACAGTATTCCCATAAATCGACTGAAAATGAAGAAAATAAAAGTTGTATCCCACTGAAGAGAAAAAAACTGAAATGAATTTAAGTAATATATATGAAAGCATAGAGTAATGGCATGATGATGATGATGATGATTGCATTCATATTTACGTTTTGTCTTATTCACATGGAAAGTACTATATGACGAAAAGAATAGCAAAATCTAGATTAAAACACAGATAGATGAATGGAGAACATTGTTTTGAATAAGTTCTCTTCAGGTTCTACAATTATATATTCAAATTAATAATCCAATATATATATATATATATCTTGAGAAGCCCTGGCTAGTGGAGCCCAATCTGTATAGGATGTGAGACAGTTATCTACTGAAAACAATGGATAAAAGGTTGCATGAGATCATGGATCGATTGAGGTTAGACATTAACATCGTTGGACGCTGGCTCAATGGTTTGGAGGTTAAGCGTTCACGTGTGAGATCAAAGGTCCTAAATCTGAGTCCCACATGTGGAATCATGGATGCCAATTGTCAAGCGAGGAGTTCTGTATGAAGACAAAATGGCCGTACGGTGCCTCTAGGTCATCAATGGTGATCGGTTCATGATTTCAATGATACGATATAGTTTTAAACGATGTATTTTGTGTAAATCGTGGCCACTTATTGGATCAATAGTTTACATATGTAATTATAGAACCTGATGATAATTTATTCCTTATACTCATATCTATGTGTTATCGTGATAGAGATTTTTCAGTGATTTAAAAGTAAACTCCGTAGAGCTTTTATCATTAAGATTCTTTGTATAAACTTATTTGTGTAAATCGGATAGTCAATGGTTAATAATTACCACCTTAATATGAATATTGATATAGAAACAGTTATTTTGTAGATTGTACAATATACATGAAACAACTACAATAATTTGAGACAATCCCTAATGATATACTTACAGAAGAACAAATACTCTAAAATGATCATATATGTAATGTTAAGAATGCCTTAATTTTCAAAAAACGATATAGAAAGTCAAAACAGTTACTAACACCAATCATTGAACTGATCTAAATCTTAATATACTACTATATTACTTTGCCAAGTACAGACAATAACAGTGATGTATTAAGATTTAAAGAGCTAAATGATATACTCCATCTTAACAAATGAAATCAAACATATAATTATTAATAGTAGTACAGTTGTTAAGTGAACCAACTGAGTAAACAAATATTGTGTTTAAAAAAAAGTGAATACAGTCTATTATTAAGCATCAATAAGATATGTAACTACTGAGAAACATTATAATTAATGACTTTTTTGTGTTATGAACTTCATGTACAGTGTTTGCTTATTAATTATCAAGGAGAATATGTTACACCCAACGTTAAAATAACATGATATTTAAGTGTTTGTAGTCAACAATATGTTGAGAATTTTAACAGTTAAAAACCACATATTTGAATCTACTTGGTAGTGTTTACTTGAATCTTCCCATTGATGATTAGAAATGCAATTGATTAATCTTTTATTCGCATATGTGCATACTGTGCGTATTACCTCGATATTGTCTTAATTCACGAGCTTTATAAACAAAGATGGATGGTGGCTAGCAGTGAAATCCAGGACGCGCGTTTAATCGTATTTGAGCCTCGTCAGCTGGATGTACTTGCATCTCAGAGTTGATATTCACTCTGGGCCTCAAACCCAGTATCGTTCGCTTCGCGTTATCTACTTAGCTAATGAGTCCTGATAGACAGGTACATCCAATTGACGAGTCCCAAATAGGACGAAACGTGCGTCCTGGACTCCACTGTTAGCCATTATCCATCTTTACTTACAAACCACATATTTGTTTAAGTCTACCTCATGCAAAAAAATGCAGTATTTATTTAAGAAGTAATCTATCTTAGTGACAATTTTTCAATTTTTTTTTTGAAAAAAAATCATTTAAAAAGTAGTTAGAACAACACATATAAGCGAACAATTGTTTTCAATTGGATCGTCATCAGGCTTTACTCTAATATACATGAATATTTATACGAAAATTGTTTAAAGCAATCAAGGCAATATGGGTCAATAATCACAATGAAATAGAATAAGTCACTACACATAATAGGTAAAAGTACAAGTTGATAGTAGTAGGAAGACAGGGGTACTGATAGTGGTAAGAATAATAAATACGATCACAAAACTCTTATCAATAGTTAGACGTTGGAAATAGAAGGTCAAACGTGGGTAAATAGACTAGGAATAGTAATCACAAAACATTAAAATCACTACGTAATAAGATGTGTGTAAATAATTAGAGTGAAGAATACAAAGAGGCGGAAAATTACAAACAAATATTGGATGTGGAAATAAGGTTAACGATAACACAAATAGAATAAAATAAATAATGATAATAATAAAATTTTAAAAAAATTGTTAGTTAAGTTATAACTGGCCATGGAAGGGATAGGGGGGTCACGTATTTCTTCTGTACACATAAATTGGGGTTATATGTACGAATTCCAATGGCTTCAGCTATATATAGGAGACGGAAACGGACTCCGTCGGGAAATGATGGAGGTATACGATAGATAACTCGAAATGATTTCGATTTATCTACAGCATGACCGCTATCAATAAGATGTGCCAATATAGAACTGCGAATAAATTTTATCTGGCCCTTTATGTACCAAGTTGGTAGATGTTCACTCATTCGTTGGTTAAGTTGCCTGGTAGTACGCCCTATATAGCTTTCTCCACAGGAGCAGCTGAATTTGTAAATGCACATAGAAGAGGCCAACTCAGGTAACTTATCTTTCGTTTGAGTAGACATCGCTGGTCGACAAGAGAAGGTCAACGCAAGATTGGCTGTGTAGAATGTCCTGGTGATTACTTTTGTTAACCTATATTTCAGAGTGTCACTAGCCACATCCCCGTTGAATTGCACTTTCATGTATAAAGGTTTCTTACGAACAGTCGAAATCTCCGACTTCTTTATTATATCATACATGTACTTCTTAATGAAAGCGCTGGCGTAGCCGATCTGGGTCAGTGAGTTGTTGATAAAGTCAAGCTCCTGACTTAGAGTATCTACTGTACAGATCTTTTTTGCTCTGCTAGTGAGACATCTGGCCAAATTTCTCTTGTAACGGATGGGTGTGAAACTGCAGAAGTGAGTATACTGGCATGAAGTGGGGTTTCTTCTATACACTTAGTGTAACGTCAAGGAAGTTCAGCTTCTTATCATGCTCGCTTTCACCAGTGAAAGTGATCGCTGGGTGAACACTGTTGAATTGGTCTAGTAGTTCCTCTTTACTAGTGTTTTGATCTACAATAATGAAGGTTTCGTCAATGTATCGGCAATATAAATCAATTTTCTAATTAGTCTCATTGAGAGGTCCATTTTCTAGCTTTGCTAGGAAGAGATCAGCTAAAATCGGGCCTAGAGGCGAGCCCATGGCTATCCCATCTATTTATCTATAGTAAGTATTGTTGAAGACAAAATGTACGTTCAGCGGGCATCTTAAGAGCAGTTCCTTTTGACTATCGTTAGGCAAGCTTTTGTTGATTTGTTTTTCTGACATTTACTTGCATATAAACTCAATAGTCTCTATAAGTGGTACGTTGGTGAACAAAGATCCTACATCCAATGAGATCATATTTTGCATGCTAACATTAATATTTTCCACTTTGGAGGTGAAGTTGAAGACATCTTTTACACTATTTCTAGCAACTGATTTGTGTAAAGGTCCTAAGATTCGTACTAGCCACTTTGCGATTTTGTGGTAAGGAGAATTATACATATCTAGAGAATTGTACATATCTATAAACTTGTAGTTTTACGTATTATGTGTAGAGACTATTTCATTTTGATTATTGACCCATATTGCCTTGATTGGTTTAACATTTTCGTATAAATATTCATGTATATTAGAGTAAAGCCTGATGACGATCTAATTGAAAACAATTGTTCGCTTATATGTATTGTTCTAATTTTCACAATGGGAATCTTTAATATTCTAAAAAGTAGTTTCCAAGGCTTAAATATTTAGTTCATTTAATCGAGAGAAAGATGCTTCTACGATTTTGTTCCTAAGCAAATCAAAATAGTTTTTTATAATGATTTGATAAAGGAGGGATTCATAGCATATTGTTAAACGATGACAAGTATTATCTTGTTTCGAAAAAAAGATTTCGCAGAGATCTTTTCAAAAAACACTAGTCATTTATTTTCAAGAAATCGATTATATAACATTCATAAGCAGCCAACCACTATGTGATAAGCTCACATTTGATGCATAACACAGTACTCAATAATAAAACAGTCACCTTGTACATCACTATGTGTGTGAACCAACGGAAAGGCAAACATCATCTTATTGTCTGCTAAAAATGGCATCATCTCTTGATCATTATGTCCCTTGATCTGGTAAAAACTTATTTTTGTCACAAACATAGAAAAGTTTTAAAAACAAAATAAACAATGGAAGAAGAATTCAACATCATTCGTGAGGAGAAATGTTATTCATCACTGTTCTTGCAATAATATTTCAGATTAATTTCATAATTTATCCAAGTAAAAATGTCAACTGTTTTGATTTACAAGTTCAATGTAAACAATCGAAAATATGAAATAAAATGGACATGAATAAGTCAATTTGTGATGTGTGCTACTTATATTGACAGATGTAAGTAGTAGTATGTAACACCAATCAAAAGTGGTATGCATGTCAAAAAAATATTGAGAAGATTAAACTGAAGAAAACAGAAATGGAAACACAAAGAAATTGAGAATTCTAAGAATCATAAAGGATGTAAAGGACATCTGATGGACAGACGTGATAATGAATTATTTTATGTATGGTTTTCATAATTTACCAAAATACTCTGTAGTGTTGCACTATATAAGAAATTAGTTGTCCCCAATTTAGTTCCTCGATTACTATAAAAACACTAGGTGAATTATTAATGGATACTTCACCGATCTATGGTTAATGAAATCTGTCTGACTACTGATAGAACAAAAAAACATACACCGTAGAATGGAGAGAATATCTCAGGAGAATATATACTTAATTGTTAAACATCCACTAGTATCGCTGATATATCTAATGGGAAGGAACATTTCATTTAATAATTTGAATTATTATACATTTATAGTTGACTTTAGCTATTCAACTAAGGAGTAGTAAACTGATATTTGATTGTAGTATACAACAGTGACTACTTCAGGTTTTACAACCAACACTTTAGGATTTCATGGCCATTAATAACATCTCTCACATTCTTGACATGATTGATCCGAACCGGTCAAGATTTCTAGTCGCAACTTCAAGAATTCTTGTTCTTATAAGTCATTGTCATTTACATTAGAAATGTTTCGTTGATTGACAAGCTTAAGTTCGTGCTTGATATAAGTCCAAAAAAATTGATTTCTCTCTCGAAACCGTTTATGATAATGATATTATTAGATCCACCTTTATAGTATTCAATGCATCAGTGCATTCTATTGAGGCTGAATATAAGTAAGCAACATTCATCAATCAATGTGTTTAGATGAACTAAACATTTTAAACCGAGAAAATAATATTCACTTTAAGCAGATAATGAAAAAAACACGACTCATTTCAAATGTTCAAATATCTCATGCAGTCGAAGTACCGTGATCGTTGAGAACAGCACTATACAACTAAAAATTTAGCAAATATTTTCTAGAAAACAAAAAGTTCCCCCAAGGGATCTCTTTTCAACAAATTTATTATCAAGCTGTACAAACGTACATTTATATCCAGAGAGAAGTTTTTGGATAATATAGCAATTATAATAGTTGAATTCATGAGTCATTTGAAGCTAGATCATCACGAAAAACCTGGAAACACTGGACGGTCGTTTCGTCCTATTGTGGGACTCCTCAGCAGTGTGCATCCACGGTCCCGCCTCTCGAGATCCGAACCGAGGACCTATCAGTTTCGAGCGTGAGTGCTTAACTCCTAGACTACTGAGTCGTCATCTAATGGTGTTAATGTCTAACTTCAATCAATCCACGAAGTCCCATCGTCCACCATATATATATATATATATATATATATATATATATATATACATGAAAACTTTTTAATAAAGCTCTGGTTCCGTTAAGAAATGTGAACAAGGAATAACCAAGATGATGTAATACAAAGATTATCATACTATTATGTAAGAGTAAAGAGATCCTTTCACTGAACTTCATGTTTTTAATGTTTAGATAGGAATTATCTGTCAAATATTTTTAAGGGTATTTGTTTTAGTTTTTATGTAAGACGTGAGAGTTGTTTGTTTTCAAAACAAAAAGATAACAACCATTTCTCATCAAATCATGCTAACACACTTACCCATTATTGCTTTACAAAAATACCATTGAGGAAACTGATGTGGTACAAGCTGATATGTTGACAAGGATATATTTTCATCAAGTTTATTGAATGATGTTGTATGATGTGGTTTTTGTAAGTGACTATGATTTATATTTGTTGTTATATCATTCATTGAAAATGAAACTAACATTCCAGTATTATGTGGACAACTGCATCCATATGTCTCTGTACTGAAATGTAAAAAAAAGAAAACGAACGGTATAACATTATACTTTGTCAATACAAGTTGAAGTTGAAATGATTCAACAGAAGACCTAAAAAAAAACTTTGTTAAACACTTTTCTTCGATAATTGTTGTATCACACATTTTATCATCTAGGGTATACAAAATGAATGATAACCCAGTAGACAGAACTTAGAATATCAGCTTTATATAATGACTCCGCTAGTAAAAAAAATATACATTTACCTGTGAAAGTGGTTTATTTCGTTCACTTTAGTTGTATGTTTATTCAGATATAATGTCTGATAAACCATAATATAAAGTGAATTCACTAACCGAACTAGGTTAGACAATCATTGAAAATCTGTAAGTACTGGAGTAGTGAAGGAGAACACAGGTGAGGACAACCGAATTATACTTAGCACCACATCACAGAGTTACTTGGTAAAATAGAGAAAACATATTATAATACCTAATTTGCAAAATGTTCAATAATTATCTCGGACTTCATTGTTCTTGCATTTCTATACTAATTTCTTTCTATTCCCGTTATTTCTTTCTTGATTTTCCCAATCTTCTGCTACCAGACATTGCATTCCTGACTCGCGTTATATACTACTTATGTTAATATAAGTGGCACACATCACACTGGAAGGCCATTTCGTCTTAGTATGGGAATTCTCAAAGACAGTAAACATCTATAACCTTTCTTTTGAGAATCAAACCCAAGAGCTTAAGTTTTACCCGTTAACATCTAACCTCTAGACTACCATACATGCTAGGCTCTCATTGTTATCAACATTTTTCTAAACGAATCGAATTAACATGTGTTAAGATGAATTGAATAAGTGAAAATACGAAATAATAAAAACTATTCACTAAACATTTGGTATATATATATAATTCGAAAGGTGCTGTAAAGTAATAAAACACTACACATTACCTAGTACTGAACTTACTATGTGTATATACAACTTTATAGAATAATTGTAAAAGTACTAAACGGTAGATACTTACTTTTCGGAATATTGAAGAATTTCTTTAAATATTACATCCACAGGGCTATTGAAAGGGATTAATTTATGATCTTTATATTCATAACGTTTATATCGTTTCACTTCATTTGAATTTGATATTTGATTAGAAGAATAATGATAACATACTCCATTAGCTTGTCGACATTTTAAACAAAATGGATTTTGATTATTCTCTGCTGACTGTCCTATGAAATTAATTATTCATTGAAAGGTTTTAGAGATATATTATAGAATAACCATGTATTACATCATTAGGATCATTATATTAATTGATGGAAGGAAGATGTTTATTAATTATGAAGTCCAGATTGAAAACAATATAACATATGTATCACTTAGAAAGGATGCGATTACTTCATTCATCAAACAAACAAAAAAAATACTGATCTTCAATAGTTGAAATCATGAGTCCATTGAAACTAGATCAGCATGGGAAACCTGGAAGCACTGGAAGGCCCACTCGTCCTATTATGGGACTCCTTAGCAGTGTGCATCTACGGTCTCGTCTCCTGAGATTTGAACACAGGACCTGTCGGTTTCGCACGCGAACGCTTAACCAACAGACCACTAAGCTGGCCGGCATCCAATGGTGTTAATGTCTAACTTCAACTAATCCATGAAATTGAGCGACACATCCACCTTTGTTATCAGTGAGTTATTATCTCACAACAAACCCGGTTGAACTTCACTAGTCACTGCTTCTTACTAGAACTCGTGGAAACACCTCTTGAAGCCAGTTACTAGTAGTTAACACTTAATATATAGCGGTTGGTTAGTTGTAAAATTGAAGAAGATATTCCATTTTATTTATGACATAGCAAATTCAATCAGTCACGACTTCTTACCCATTTAAATGTCCACGATCTGCCTCAAAATTTACAAATGGTTTACAATTAGGGGTTGTGTTAACTGTCTGACATCATATTTTTAACATCTTATCGTATTTCATATAATAATGAATGACTATGATGGTTGGTTAACAAATAACCCCCATGACTATGAAAATGCGTTTAAACTTTAGAACTGATTCTAGTGAAAAAAAAACTACATACATGTTTCGTTATCTCTTACTAAGATTCAGTGTTTTAAGTAATCAAATTGCAAAAGGAGAACCACCCATTTCAATCTTAAATCATCTACTTCGTTTTGGATATTAGGATGATGTTTTTAATAGTCATACAAAATATATCTTACAAAGACCATTGTATTTTGTTTATCACAATCCTAAATTCACATGCTGTAAACGATGTACTTTGCCTTTTTACCTGACCATTTTTCAGATTATTAATTTAGATATATGAATTGTAGAACCTGCAGAGAATTTATCAAAAAGAATGTTCTTCGTTCAAATATTAGTCTTTTAATAGGTAAGGGATCTTTAAACGATTAAAATACGAATAATTTCATGTCATGATCGATAGCATTCGATCTGCACTAATAAGGATTAGACAAGCATGACATTGATCACCACCCAGTGATCAATCAATTGTGATTACATCTCAGTCCTACAGGAGGTTAGTCACGGCTCGGATAGCTCAGTGGTAACGTCTCTGACTGTGAAGCTGGGTGACACGCGATCGAATCCGCCAGGGAGCACCAGTTCCCTCAAGATTACAGGTACACCTTGCTGACGAGTGCCAAGTAGCACGAAACCCGGGTCCAGGGTTTCTTGTTGACTACCTCCAACCACCATCTAAATGACTATTTTATTATTTCCAGTTAAATTCAACATCATGATATAGTATTGGAATTACAGTGAAGATTTGAAAGTCAGTTGGATGATTTGATTGTTTTTCAGTTTTCTGATCTCGGTGATGTAATGTCAGAGTTTTAATTAACGTTTAGGACAACATCTTCAGCGCTTACGTCATGTAAAAATGAGTGATTTAGTTATTAAACAAATGTTAAATCAATTTGTCTTATTAACCTTGATCATGATTTGTTAACGTTTAACTTAAAAACAACGAAAACCATAAGAATAGCCAGTCAAAATCAAGACGAAACAACCAGATGGCTCATTTCTACATGATATAAGCTCTGATAATACTGTTCAGATCATTAATGAAAACTCTAATCATTATGTTATTGAGCCCAAGGAACTCGATAATATCAAAAGATTTAACAATAAATATCTAAATATACGTTTACATAGAAGATGAAATATTTTCAATCTTAAAATTCAATTTAAAAATATTGATTTACTAATCAATTTGTTTAAACTCCGCCTGGAGTCCCTCCGGGGGCTACTGCCGGTCCCAAGCCCGGATAAAAGAGGAGGGTTGGGCATGGGGTTAGTGACCCCATCCCGTAGAAAACTAATTCGCTAAAAAAAACGCTAAACAGAAAAAATTATTCAAACCTTTTAAACTCTGCCGTGGGAATCAGAAGGTCTTTATTTAGAAGAGTTATGATGCCTCATGATGAAAGCCGAATTCCTTCGGATGTCACGAGGCCGATGCTCTTATATACATATACCTATATTAGATATAAACTTGACAATTTTGTTAAGTCATAAGCATATGACCAATAAACTAAATTATATTTCAATCAATTTTCTTTTCATTACAAAAAAAAAGAAAACGTTGCCATATATATATATATGTATCGAATATACTCAACAATAATAATCAATATTAAAAATAATAAAATCTTGTAAGGAAAAATTTTTACCCCTCCACCATCCCCCCCGCGCAAAAAAAACACAAACTTTGCGTGATCAACTATCCTAGTTACAAACTTCACTAGTTTCTATACACAAATGAATACAAATACTTTCAAGTGAACATTTTACATGTAGATATATTATGAATTTTTTTTTTATTAATTTTGTTGTTGTTGCTTAAAACGAATTTTCTAACTAACCACTCAGTAAACATTGATGATTGTAGTTCAACATGACGAAAGAGAATTACTCTCTATTATTATTCTTTGATTTTTTTCTACAAACCAATTCATTGACCAAAAACATATACACACATCAAAAAGAAAAAAAAAGAGAAAAATTAATTTTTCTTTTCTTTTCTGACTCTATTTCCTTCTTTTGATTACAAGTTTACTTATGATTCAGTGAAATCTCTATTTATTCAAAATATATACATCTTTGTACAGATAGTGATGTATGATATAATAGTGAATAAAATAATAGTTGAATTCATGAGTCATTCAAATCTTGATCATTATAGAAAACCTGGAAACACTGGATGATCATCGTTTCGTCCTAGTATACAACTTCTTAGCAGGGTGCATCCATGATCCTGCCTCGTGATATTCGATTTCAGGATTTATCGGTTTCATGCGAGAACACTTAACCTCTAGACCACCGAGTTGACATCCAATGATGCTAATGTCTAACTTTGATCAATTCATGAAATTGCAACACCGTCCACCATCTCTCAAGAGACCTGGTTGAACTCCACTAGCCACGATTTCTTACTAGAACTCCAGGATATACCTCATGAAGTTAGTCATTAGTGGTTGAATTTGGACATTAACACCATTGGATGTCGGATCAATGGTCTACAGGTTAAGGGTTTGCGCGCGGGACCGACAGGTCCTGGGTTAGAGTCTTGCGGGTGGGATCGTGAATGTGCACTGCTGAAGAGTCCTACACTAGGATGAAACAGTCGTCCAGTGTCTCCAGGTTTTTCATGGTGATCTAGCTTCAATTGACTCATGAATTCAACTATTAAACTTACTAAAATCTCTACAAAATAGTAATTTTCTTATTGGTTTTAAAAAACTAACATTATTACGAAGCTATTTATGATTATTTGAAGATATTTAATCAAAATAAAGACTGAACATAATTTATATTGTATTAACTGTCGAGTATGTTCTATTCTAGAATCGATTAAGGTTAATGATTATTTATAATGATTTTATCCCTGATGACTAAATAGCTGTTTACTATTTTACAACAAACAATCATAATAGAGATCATTGATAGAGTAACCTGAAAAAAATAACCTTTATTGAAAGGAAGTAATAATCTGAATTCAGATCATTTATGATTTCACCAGGTGACTATCATAAGAAGTTTAAAGATCAGAAATGTACTAGACTAAACTAGAAAACATTTAATTATATAACTTTAAATATTTTTTGATTGAAATCATGAGTCAATAGAAGCTAGACCATCATGGAAAACCTGGAAGCACTGGACGGCCAACTCGTCCTAGTATGGGACTCCTCAGCAGTGCGTATCCACGACCCTGCACCCCGCTAGATTCGAACCCAGGACTTGTCAGTCTCGCGCCAGAAGCTTAACCAACTAGACCACTGAGCCGGCATCTAATGGTGTTAATGTCTAACCTTTTCTTTGAAAATCAAGTTATTTATCTACCTGAAATATTCATCTTTCGAAGTAATCACTTTTATAAATAAGTTTCTTTTAGACAAGTATACTTTGTATTGAAATCTAATTTCATTTGATTTTACAATGATGGGTAGAAAAAAAATCTGTTTTTCCGTCAGCAACTCATGTTGTCTAGAAAGTAACCAAGATTTACATATTTTCTTTTTGTCTCATGTTAAACTACTCGAACACATTTCACTTCTGCAATTACTACACTCTAATCTGTTTGCATTTTATTGTCATTAAATCAGTCAGTTAATGTTCTGTTTTTAAAAAAAAAAGGTTATTCAATCAAGTATAGTTTGACAGGCGGAAACATAAATTTATTACAGTTTTATGAGGAATTAAGTGATGAATTTCAATACTAGAAAACAACACTATAATGTTCGTACAACTACTAGACATACTTGTCTCTAAATGATCAAACCTTGTTGTTGGGATGAATTTTATAAGATTTCTTGTTGATTGTGTTCAACAACTTTATATTTAAGTAATGATATCTTATTGTTCAACTATTTCGACAATTCATCATACTACAGTTAAACTGGTATTGAATATAAGACAAGATTAGCAGATTAGTTTTTAGTAAATACCATCATTTTCATTATCATTATACTTGTGTGAGAGGTGGTCAGTGTATGAAATGGTGTCGTGGTATGAAAGAAAGCTGCGAAGGGCTGGTTTGTGTTGGTCCTTCACGACTTCCTGACTGGGGTCCTAGAGATGGTGCAACACAGTGGCTAGAGACATTATCATATATGGCTCAGAATAGAAGCCAGTGGTGATCCTGCTGCAACCTTCTTTTTCTTTCTTCGTAAAAAATGGTTGTTT